GGATGTCCTGCGAGGAAACAAAATCCCGCTTGCACGTGGGCGAGAACGGCAGAAGATGAGCGGCAACGGATGGCAACGGCGTTGTTGGGTCACATTGTCTCACAGATTCTCACAGCTCACCAGGCCTGGCTCCTTCTCCTGGCGATGCTGGGCTCGTGTGACGCAAAGAGGCGCAGGGTACAACAGTTCTTCAGAGGCAAGAGCTGATAAGAGCTGATTCCTCTGCGCTGAGCCAGGGCGAAAGCTTGCCATCGGAGCCGCCGTATGCCTCAAAGTGTGAGGTCGGAGCTGCTTCCAGGGGCCGCCGCAGGCGTGTGGCGCCTGATGGAGATCGCTTTCGACAGAGTCGATGAGCTTCATCCAACTCCTGGGACAGGCGTCGTAACCCCCGCCAGGACAGAATACCCTCCCGTCCACAAATCTATCACGTGCTTCGACCGAGGTCTTCTGCTGTAACCGCCGTTGGATGTTGTCCTCCAGGTTTTGGTTTCCGAAAATCTTGTCATGAGTTCGCAGCAAAGCGAGCCGACAGACCAAAAGACCCCTGGTCTTCTGCAGTCCGTGGGTATTGTGCTTGGGTCCTGGCGTTGCCGAGCAAAGCTTGCACACCAAGTCCGCAAACGCTGGTTTTTTTCGTCGTCTTTAAAGCCTATCGGGGTCCCGTTACCAGTCCACCTCTGCGGCCACCCGGCAGTTCAGACCTTAAGCCTTAAGCCACTTCCGGAGCCTCAGCTGGCCACACTCCACCCACCAATGCCACCGCCAGTGCCGCCCCGTTCTACCAAAGGCCCTGATGCAAAGCCATGTCTGGCATTTCTGAGATTCTGTGACATGGCCCACGAAGGGGTACAGGCCGAAGGGAAACAACACGTCGGAGTTTCGCCCCCTTTGCTTTACCAAGAACAGGCCATCAAGTGAGCACAACATTCCGAATGAAGGACGACCTTGGCAACAATTTCAGCAAGGCTCTCGTCCAAAGCTCTTCGAAGCTCGTTGTGGAGTTGCAGCAGTCGCTCTCTGAGCCTTAGTATCCGATTGAGACAGAGCCCTGCTTCCGCCGGGGCTAAGCTAGCGCTTGTCCCGTTGCTTCAGAAGGCTTGTTGTATCTGCCAGCTCCTTCTGCACGAACGATGTCCTCATCCTGTTCTACATGAATAGGTGAGGGATTCCGTAAGGACGTTGGCAATCACAGGCTCGGCCCGTACCCAATGAGTGTGGTCATGTGGGACGAATGAAGCACGACTCGACACATTTCGGCACCATCAGCAGAGAAGACCACCACTGGTTCAGAAGAAAGTCACTGTTTGCGCAGACACCACTCCCTTACACCACCCATCCTTCAGCCCCTTGAGACGAACCATCCCTTCATATGTTCCTCTTCGCAGAAACTCTCCCAGGCTAGTTGCAGGAAACGATGCGTGGAGCTTAGTATGTTGCCAGACACGACTGCTGTGCGGATGACCTTGCCATCACACGGGATAAGCGCTGTGCGAAAGTGTCATTGCGACACAGCTTTCTATGTCATCCCTGCTGCATATTCGCCAAAGCCTCCTGAAATCTGTCAACAGCAAACTGCGGAAGCTAGCAGGGGTTCAGAAAGATCAGCCACAGGACTTTTGCTCGATAGCTGACGCGGCCAGATCATCTGTAGAACCATTCTTCACCGGCGGCGGCTCCGCTGTCGCACCTAAACTTAATGCAGGCCTGCACATGTTTGCAAATTTTGGCAAGCTTAGATGCACCCTGCAAGATACAACAGGCTTCCACCAGCTCTGCTGACAGCCAAGTGGCCGTCTGCAGCCTCCAAGCTGAGTGGAGGAGGGTGCAGCAGTGCGTTCGATTGCTTGACGCTGGGCACTGGCATCAGCTTCGACGTGCTGTGCCGTGCTATGCCGTGCTGCTATCTACTTCGATTTCCTCTGTGACCTATGAGTGAAGGAGGCCCGTCTCGTGACGCGTGCTCCACCGGCCCTGAAGGCCAGGTCAGGTCAGGGAGTTCAGGGCGCACTGTTCTGCAATGACCTTCTGTGAAGTGGGGATTCGTAGGAACTCTGTGGGATCGTTCACATGCCTGGACGCATGATGCTTCATCCGAGCAGGCTGCAATATGCTGCAAGTTCTCTCCTAGAGTCCTAGACGACAGAGAATGACAGAGACTGCCGATGCAAATCGGCTTCGCAGGCTATTCAAATCTCCACATGTGCTCCAGAGAACTCCTTTTTCATTTCGCAGCTGCTTTGAGCTGGAAGATGCCATCAGAAAGTGTCATCTTCAAAAGACTGAGTTCCACGTACATTTCCCAGAAGGCCCGCAAGCTCCTGAGGAAATGATGGTGCGTGCAGTCATGCAGATGAGCAGCTGTGTGCCAAAGCACGCTGAAGAGCAAAGTCATGCAACCCTGGTGCCTCGAGTGCCTCGGTGCCGCTGTCGCTGATCTGTGCACAGATGATACAAGCGGGTCAGAAGGTTAGACGAAAGCATCGAAGTCGAGATACCGGCGCGGCCCTGGGCCGCAAAACGGCGCATACAAGCAGCAATGAGGCAGCCCCTGCGAAACGAATCTTCTGAAAAACTGGGGTGCATCCGAATGTACAGTGTGCAGTAGAGCCTAGTGTCATCCACAAGGCGGAGTGGTCCTGCAAAGGAGCATCCCATCCCATCCCACAGTCCGAATCCGGTTTTTGCATCGGTGCAATCTTGAGGCATTGAGTCGGCAGCAGTAAGAAATCTCACAGCTGCCTGAGAAAACACCTGCTCTGATGTTCGCCATCCGACCCCCTGATATATTGCACGCGGGAAACACACAAATATAGCATCGAGAATCCTCCGGAGGTACCACATGCTCACCATCCTGGCCGCAGAGAGCCGGGCAGAGCGCAATGCTTGCGGACAAAGGAATGCGCATGGACGTACCTGGACTCTGGGAGAGGGAGCCTTTCGGGGAGCGGCCAGACATCCCAGGTTTGTGCCGCAGCCTACATCAGCACATGCGTGGCGCCTGGTACAGCGATGAGAATGGAAGACGCATTCCAAGAAAGCTACCTTCCAGGCTCCGACCAGTCTCAGCTGCGACACGAGCAGACAGCAGGGCTACGTTTTTGCTGTTCAATTGCTCTTCAGTTACTCGGTGCAGGTCAGTGCGCAGGGCCGGGCAGAATCTCACCGCAACGCAAAACCGTCCAGGCCTCCACCCATGCAAACGCCATTGCTTGCACATACGCCCTCGACGCACTGGCAGACCTTATTAGCAAATCATGGCAAAGACGATGGCCCGATCTCTGCAACTTGCAACTTTCTAATGCGCCAAGAAACACGGCAGTGAGCTCGTAAATCTCTTGAGGGCCGAGCCCCCGTGCCGCCAAACGGCGTCGACAGGTCTGCGCACGTTGTCTTGCCACGGTCTGGCCTAGGGGCGCTGGGGGGGGGGGGGGAATCAAACGCTCACGCTAAATCCACTTGTGTGTGTGTGTGTTGTGGACCTGGTCGGGCCCAGAGACCCAGGATTCACAAAGCGGAGCCCGATGTTTACAGAAAGATCGCAAGCTGCACTTCGGATCACGACTGCACGTGCCATGCTCTGAAATCGATTTTGAACAAGCGCGGTGCCGACACTCTCCAATTCCAGGTAGGAAGTAGGGACCCATCATGATGCAACTTGACTGCCTGGCAGAGTTTGCAACGTTTCGCTGTCAACATCCTCCGCACATAGTCCAAAAGAATAAACGTGGCAGCCCACAAGCAACAGCGATCTGGGGCTTCTTTGCAGCTCGGTTGTGGTGCTGGCAGGGAAAAATGACAAGAACATGCCCCATGTCCACAATTCGTCAGTTCGCAGGCTTTCACTATTGAGTCAAGGCACGGTGTTGTTTTGCGAACTCTTCCGGACAGAGAAATGGCAGCCTTGAAAACCGCAGACTGGGAGCTTGGCCAGCTTGGAGCGGGAAGAGGCAGAGACTGAGACAGACTGGACTCCGGCAACCCCCTCGACTGCGGCATGAAGGGCGGTGCACACACAAAACCAGATACCACCCCCTTATTTCTGCGTTTTGGCAGAGAGGTTAGAGCATTTCCCCGTTTCCCAACTGTGCAAAGAGAGCACCATGAGCTGAGTGGCGGTGTCTTGCGGCAAAACTCTGACATGTCGAGTGCCGGGAAGGGCATCTGCATTTCTGCCTGAACATCCCGTGTTCGACAGCTTCAAGACCCACACCTGCACGATGCTGCCCGCCTGCGCCGGTGTTAGCAGGGCGAAGTACAACAATGCCTGCTCGGGACTGTCCAGGACTTGGGATTGCTGATGATCTCCGTAGTCCGGTACTTTGGGGTCTCGCATGCTTGCGTGCCACTGAGGCATTCGCCAACTCCATCTCTGTGTTCCGAGCACAGCATTCAGGCGCGACAGCACGCTTCTATCGAAGACATCTAAGCCCAAACTGCACCAGTAAAACCCAACCAGCAATGTTCCTTCCTTGTTTCAGATCTGAGATGCAAGGGTCCACCTTGCCACCGATGCTGCCGGAAGTCTGTCATCTACGACCCAAAATTAATATGCCGTCTGGAAGCTGAAACTAGCGTGCATCCTGGATTGTGGCGCTACATTGATCTACTTAGAGTCTACTTTGCAAGTATATGGTTGCCTGGTTTTTCCATTGCCTATGACAAGGCTGGCCCGGCCATGACATGCTGCGGAATCAGAAACTACACGAAACTGACATGCGTCAATCCCTTGTGCTGGCTCTGACGAGACGGTTGCAGTCCGCTCATGCCGCACATGTTCAGGTTTCCAGGTTCTTTTCGGAAGATGGACGAAGCAAGACGAAACACGGATTATGCACAGCTGCGGTTCTCAGCCGATGGCAAACTTGTCACAGAGCAACAGCCAGTCCTCAAAGCTTGGTTCTCGAATCTGGAGTTTGATGGATCATCCATGCGGCAAGGGACCTGTTGCGGGGCGATTCCATCGCCCCCGAAGGCAATCCACTTCTATGCAATCAGAGCCATCATTGGGCCCGCCAGGCTTTTTCGCAGTCAGGTCTGTACATGACGTTCGTCACCTCGGCTCAACTCTTCAGGTTCGTAGTTGCAGCCGCACGACCCAATCTGACCTAAACTGAAACCACTGACCTCAGCTCCACTCCCTCTCTGCAGAATTTTCCGGCATTTTGGCAATGCTCACGATAGCATTGTCAACTGCTGATGGAGTGAATTGCTGTGTTGTATGTCCTGCGCACCCTGATATAGGTAGGAATATGTTCGAATGCAAAATATGCAAGAGAACTTCTGCTACACAATCCCCTTCAGCAGGTTACGAGCGTGAGATACCAGATATTGAAAAAAGGAATCGTTTCGGTGGCTTCACGGCTTCAGCGTTATATACTGGGGTGCAGTTTTGCATGCCCCAGGCCCGCAAACTGATGCAACATGGTAGTCAACACTCAGTCAATGCTACAGTCAACACTACAGTTAACACTTCTAAAACCCTGGCAAAATCCAGCAAATGTAGACACACTCGTCTTAAAGGAACAACTTAGGTTTTTGGGCCTCTTAATGGCCAGAACATTCAAACCGCTGGATTTTCCGGCATTTGGGGAGTGCTGACTGTAATGATGACTGTCCATTTGAGCCTCCTAATGTCCAGAACATCAAAATGCTGGATGTCTAGCATGTTGACAGTGTTGACTGTAGCATCGACTGTAGATGGAGTGAATGCTGAACCCAGCACCCTAAAAAGTGTGGATACACACTGGCAGTTTGCAGCTACTGGACATGACACTGGTAGAAGTGCAAAAGATACAAAAGAACTTCTGCCCGTCTGTACGTGTTACGCGCGAGCTATCAGCAATTGCTTCTGAATCGTTTTGGTGGTTTCAGCGGCTTTAAATACTGGGATATAGTTTTGCACGCCCATGGCCCGCAAATAGATGCAACATGACAGTCAATACTCAATGAACGCTACCGTGAACACTACCAAAACCCTGGGAAACCCAGCAAATTTATTCACTCGCCTTACAGGAAAACTTACTTTTTTGGTAGCTTCATCATATCCAGAACAGTCAAAGTGCTGGACTTTCCGGCATTTGGGGACTGCTGACTGTAATGCTGTAATGCTGACTGTATTGTTGACTGTCATTCTGCATGTATCTGCTCGTTGTTGAGGAAAAGCGGAAATTTGTGTTTCCTGGTTTCCTAATGTCCAGAACAGCAAAACGCTGAATTTTCCGGCATTCTGGCAGTGTTGAACGTAGCGTTGACTGTAGATGGAGTGAATTGCTGTGCTGATCTGTGTTGTGTGTCCTGAACCCAGTACCCCAAACAAATAAGGGTGGATACACACTGCACTGTCAGTTTGCTTACAGCTCAAAAGCACTTCTGCCGTCGGTGGATGGACACAATCTCGCACAAAGCGTACATGGATACTTCCGAACGATTGAGGCATCAAGCCCCACACCTCCTATTTAACGTTGCATCCTTAAGGGAGGAGGGCTCCAAATCTGAAATGAACATTAAGACTCAGGTAAGGCAGTTGCTTGGGTAACGTTCGTGGCTATGCAGCGAACCCGTCCCCACAAGCTTTCATTGCGAAGATCCCAAGCCGCACCTTGGGCTTGCAATTCCTGAAGATGATGCGCGACAGCTCCTCGCGATCTCACCAACAGACTGCTCCGATAAAGCAGACCCTCTATAGGCTATGGCCACATCCTGTTTCAGTCCTGCTGTTTTTTGGAAACGTTCTGGCTTGGGAGGAAAGGCTCAAACAATAAAAAAGTCCCCACTTTCCGGGGCCGCTCCATCTCCACATCACCGACAAAGTCGACCAAACCAACTCGCTGAGCCTGCGAGGACGCATTTCTACGCGAAGTGACAAGGACTCTCAAAGCTGGCCTCCCTGGCATCTATTGGAAGCCCGTCCGTAATCATCTTCCTTTGCTGACGGCATATTGTGACAGTACGACGCGCCAGCACAAGAGCTTGCGATGGTTGAAACTGCTAGCCGAAACTATAAAGCCAGCCTGATGTAGTCGTCAGAAACTCGCTTCCGCATGGCAACGGTGACGCACTGCCACGGCATGGGAAAAGAAAAGGGTCTCCAAGCATGGTGATCGCAGCTTTTACCTGCCCTCGTGCGATTTTTCTGCAACTGCTTCAAGACATGCCGCGATGACAGCAGGCATACCACCGACTCGCACTTCGGGGAAACCGAAAGTTGCATCGGGTTCCGCAAGCGACACCTGAAAAATGGACAGACTTTGCCTGTCCCGAAGTTGGCAGGCTTGCCCGTTGACAGCTCTACGTGCCCTGCATCCGCCAGGGCAGCGAAAGCCACTGGCAAGCTGCGAACCTGGGAGCTCGCACAGTAGAGACCATGAAAACTTCCGAGCGCGTCACAGGAGCCACTCTGAAGAAAGAGACATCAGCAGTTACTGCATCGAATCGGGGATTTGAGTCTGAGCTTGTTGCATCCCCCTTGGCAACATTCACGATGTAAGTGGGCCTCGTATCCACAACCTGCGCTCAGATTCCACCAGACGAACGTTCACCAGCGTGTCATGAGAATGGAAACTCCCCGTCAGCAAATCACAACCGAGAGCAGATTCCTCGCAAAGCTCTGCAAAGATCTCTTGCGCCATGATGTAGAAGTCCTGGGTGCGGCTAGTGGCTGCCCACAGACAGGCTGCATGCCTGAACAAGCAAAGAAAGCGCACTCGTCTCACATTTGAGATGCCATCCTTGTCCCAAACCAGCTGTCCCAAGAAACGAAATATGACCATCCCGCTGGAGACCTGGCGAACTACTGTGAGGTACTTGCCTGCAAAGTCCCACGATTTCGCAGCCTGGCCAATCTGCTAAGCCGGTCTTTTTCGATCTTCATGGACCCGTGCCGCCGCGCTACTGTACAAGGAGACAGTGGAAAGCCACGCCAAGAAATGAAAGATGCTTTGAATAAAAGTCTGCGAAAGTTTTGCAGGTTCCCGGCAGCACCGAGTTGAAGGCGCTTCTTGGCGGCATCCACTGCTCGGCTGCGACCCTCAAGCCGCGGCTTTGCCCGCTTTCTTTGCCAACTTGTGAAGATCGGCTAGCATCTCGGCCTGGATGTCAGTTTTATGTCACATTACGCAGTAATGTTGCACAAGTTGGGCCACCCACCCCCAGGCCTCCCAATCATCAAAGCTTGTTCCTGAATGGAATCCTGGTGCTTTCGGGCCAACTTTCCCTTTCTCTGTGCCTGCTTGCATCGCGCTTCACCACAACAGGCCACAGACATGCCCGCAACGGCAAGGCACCAGCCGGCAAAGACCATCACTCAAGACAGACTCACTCTCGCACTCTCACTCGCTCACCCACGCTCTGAGTCACAGAGTTTTGGACTGGCTGTGTCTACATCACTCACTTTCAAGCAGTTCCACTCCACCCCACTCGCCGGTGGTTAGTGCACGGCCAGGAAGATTTGCCGCGTGCTCGCTGCTGGCAGTACTGCAAATTTGGCTAAAAACGCCTTGCTAACTAGACAAAGGAAACCCTTGCAGTTCTCGGGATTGCGAACTCGTTCACGTATGTGCTCTGTATCTCTGGTACATTCCGCAACTGCAAAATCTTGATCTCCGTGATGCGGGACAAACCAAGTGCCAATATCGATCCGACTCATGGCAGACAGTCCCAGTTCATTATCCACCAAAAGATATTTCATGCTGCCCAACCTGCCCCATTTTCCTGACTTGCACCAACTGAAGACGGGCACGTGGCTTTGAAACCTGGTCTGGGATTGGGGGCTTTTCAGAGGAGGGCATATCCGACGTCGTCCGACCTGCTTTTTGGTGGTTGATCTCCAGCTTCCGGCTTCTACAGGTGATCTAGTAGTACACGATGAAGTGCTAGCTCCGCTGAAGCTCATGTCAGCTTCATGTCGTCTGCGTGCCTTTGATTCTGAGACTATCGGCCGGACATGGTCTTTTCCATATTGTGTCTGAGGGCGTAGAGTTCGCCGACCCGTCATTTACAACCTGTTCCTGCGGAACAACTCTCTTAAGACTGATGTGTGGAATTGTATGTATATGCAGCGCCAGACTGCGTGTATGTTACATACATACATATATATATATGTACATACATATACAAATACATACACATACACATACACATACACATACACATACACATACACATACACAGACACATACATGCACATACATACACACACACACACATACACATACACATACACATACACATAGACATAGACATAGACACAGACATAGACATAGACATAGACATAGACATAGACATAGACATAGACATAGACAT